TTTTATTGATTTTATTATGTAGATATCATGCTTAGATTGTTATTATAATTCCTAGTATCATGTCTAGGGTAACTTTAATACTAAGTATGATTGTTACGATGCTTCCTACGTTCTTCCTAATATTTATGATTGCTAGTATCATGTTAGGGTTAAAGATTTGATTTTTATTGCTTAGTGACATGCTAGAGTTTGTTATTAATCTTGTTAGTATCATGCCTAGGATCTTGCTAATATTATGCTTTAACGTGATTATTATGATTATGATTATTATAATCATTATTATGATGATTATTGTTATGATTATTATTATGATCAAGATTATTTTGATGATGATAATTATGTTGCTTGATATATATATTTTATTGTTATTGCTTGATCACGCCTTTTATGCATGTTTAAAGGGAATTTGTACTTGTAATCACACTTAATAAGATAATTAATAATCTTGTTAGGGTTAATATGATTATAATTCAAGTGATCGCCAATAATAGATTTATTTGTGCATTAAATTCAACCAACATAGATTAAACAGGTTTAGGGTTAATCCTATTGATTGCATGTTAGTCAGAAAGCGCACATGAATACGATCAGAATAAAGTATAGACCTATTATTAGGTCAGGTTCAATCTCTTTTAGGTTGGATTTGTACCTTCATCCCCGAACCCTTATTTGGTTCAAGACCTTATGGAGTTGATGATCTCTTGGATCGTTAAGGGGTGTAACCTTCACCCTATGAACGGTTTACAAGTTCCTAAAACTTGTTGGCGACTCTTTTGCTCTATCTTCTTCCCTTTTGGATGCCACCGTACTTAATGTACGATCACAGTGGGGTTCAAGCTAGGGATAACGCTTGAAATTATTCCCCACAGGTGTCGAAAAGTCTTGAAATTCTAGGGAATACATCTTATAATGCCTTTTGGAACTATATATATATATGTGATTATTTAATGTTGTCATAAATGTTCGTGGTATGCTTGAGTTAATGATATCGGTGCAAGTTATAAATCGGTAAATTTGTTGTTTTAAGGAAAATTTGATAGTTCCACCCACCCAATGGAACTCCCAGAGGGTTTTAGGGACCATGGTAAATTATTCGTCAATTTTTATTACCAGGCGTTAAAAAGTTAAAAATTTCCAAAATTGAAGGCTAATATCCACACTTCTTGAGAAATTTTGGAGGTTTCGAGGTCTGTTGTCGAAAAGCTTTAAGATTTTAGGGGATTCTTCTTGGGGTCATATAATGCCGTTTGGAACCACATATGATCATTATATGTTGTCATAAATGTTCGTGGTAGGCATGAATTAATGAAATCGGTGCAAGTTGTAAATCGGTAAATTGGTCGTTTAAAGGCAAATTGAATGGTTCTACCTACCTAATTGGACTCCGGGAGGTTATTATGGACCATGGTAAACATTTCGGAAATTTTTATTTCCGGCCGAAAAAAGTCAAAAAATTCAAAAATTGAAGGCAAATACCCATGTTTTTTGAGAAATTTGGAGTCTTCGTGGCCCGTTGTCTAAAAGTCTTTAAATTCTAAGGAATACATCTCGGGGTCATATATTGTCGCTTGGGACCATATATGATCATTATTTGTTGTCATAAATGTTCGTGGTAGGCTTGAGTTAATGAAATCGGTGCAAGTTGTAAACCGGTAAATTGGTGGTTTAAAGACAAATTGATTAATTCCACCCATCTAATTGGATTCTTAGAGGGTGTTAGGGACCGTGGTAAACATTTTAGCAATTTTTATTTCCGGATGAAAAAAGTCAAATAATTCCAAAATTGAAGGCTAATATCCACGATTTTTGAGAAATTTTTGAGGTTTCGGGGCCAGGTGTCGAAAAGTTTGAGATTTAGGAGATATATCTCAAGGTCATATAACGATGTTTGGAACCATATATGATCATTATATGTTGTCATAAATGTTCATGGTACGCTTGAATTAATGAAATCGGTGCAAGTTGTAAATCGGTAAATTGACTGTTTAAAAGCAAATTGGATGGTTCCACCCACACAATTGGACTCCCAAAGGGGTATTAGGGACCATGGTAAACATTTCGACAATTTTTTTCCATGCAAAAAAAGTCAAAAAAAATTCAAAATTGAAGACTAATATCCACACTTTTTGAGAAATTTTGGATGTTTCGGGGCCTTGTGTCAAAAAGTCTTGAAATCCTAGGGGATATATTTCGGGGTCATATAATGCCATTTGGAACCATAAATGATCATTATATGTTGTCATAAATGTTCGTGGTAGGCTTGAGTTAATGAAATCGGTGCAAGTTGTAAACTGGAAAATTGGTCGTTTAGTGGAAAATTGGTTGATTCCACCCACCCAATTGGACTCCCGGAGGGTATTAGGGACTATGACAAACATTTTTGTTATTTTTATTTCCGGGCGAAAAAGTAAAAAAATTCCTAAATTGAAGTTCCACGCTTTTTGAGAAATTTTGGAGGTTTCGGGGCCGGCGTCGAAAGGCCTTTAGATTTTAGGGAATACATCTCGGGGTCATATAATGCCGTTTGGAACCATATATGATCATTATATGTTGTCATAAATGTTTGTGGTAGGTTTGAGTTAATGAAATCGGCACAAGTTGTAAACCGGTAAATTGGTCGTTTAAAGGCAAATTGGATGGTTCCACACTTCCACCCACCCAATTGGACTCCCGGAGGGTATTAGATACCATGGTAAACAATTCGGCAGTTTTTATTTCCGAGCGAAAAAAAGGTCAAAAAATTCAAAAATTGAAGGCTAATATCAACGTTTTTTGAGAATTTTTTGAGTTTTTGGGGCCTGGTGTCGAAAAGTTTTGAAATTCTAGGGAATATATCTCGGGGTCATATAATGTCGTTTGGAACAATATATGATCATTATTTGTTGTCATAAATGTTTGTGGTAGGCTTGAATTATTGAAATCGTTGTATGTTTTAAACCGGTAAATTGGTCGTTTAAAGACAAATTGGATGGTTCCACCCACCCAATTAGACTCCTGGAGGGTATTTGGGAGCTTGGTAAACATTTCGGCAAATTTTATATCCGAGCGAAAAAAGTCAAAAAATTCTAAAATTGAAGGCTAATATCCACGCTTTTTGAGAAACGAATGTTTCGGGGCTTGGTGTCGAAAAATATTTAGATTTTATGGGATACATCCCGGGGTTATATAATGTCGTTTGGATCCATATATGATCATTATATGTTGTCATAAATGTTCGTTATAAGCTTGAGTTAATAAAATCGGTGCAAGGTTGTAAACCGATAAATTGGTCATTTAAAGGCAAATTGGATGGTCAACCAGCCAATTGGACTCCCGGGACCATGATTAACATTTTGGCAATTTTTATTTATGGGTGAAAAAAAGTCAAAAAATTCCAAAATTGAAGGTTAATATTCACGCTTTTGAGAAATTTTGGAGGTTTCGGGTAAAGCTGTCAATTCGGGTATACGGGTCGGGTTTGGGTCAGTAAGAGTGGGTCGGTCAAATCGAGTCGGGTCAATTCGGATTAATTCCATAACCTATGCGGGTCGGGTTTTAGTTGGGTCATGCTTGAGTCGGGTCACGTCGGGTCGTACTTCTTATCGGGTTTGGGTCGGGTTTAGGTCGGTTTACATTCGGTTCGGGTGAACAATAGTTCGAGTTTAATTCGGGTTTCATGGATTAAAACGGGTTAGGGTAATTCTCGGGTTTGATTTGGGTTCGGTTCAAGTCAATAATTTGCAAGTTAGAATCAAGTCGGGTCATTCTCGGGTTCAAGTCGGGATCGGTTCAAGTCAATAATTTGCGGGTTATAATCAGGTTGAGTTATTTCCAAGTCGAGTCATTCTCGGAGTCAAGTCGGGTTATGTTCAAGTCAATAATTTGTAGGTTACAATCAGGTGGGGTCATTTCCAAATAAGATCATATTCGAGTTCAACTAACTATAAATAGATAATTATCATTTTTATCAAGCTAATTATTTCCTTTGACTATAATATATATGGCAATATACTAGGGAACTATAGTTTATAATTTAGGAAGATAATTATCTCCTTTTACCATACAACAAATATATACTATATTTAACTCTTAAATTTGAGGATGATACTCCTTTCTTTTGCTGGCCTGGACCGACTTGGTCTCCTTAGACAAAATTCTTTGATCAACAATAATAAGGTGGTTTAAATTGCATTTAAGGTGATTTGAAATCGGGTCGGGTGCATCAATAAAAAAAACCGGGAACAATTTGGGTTGAATTTAGGTTGGGTCAATAACAAGTCGTGTTGATTTCGAGTCGGGTTAGTAACAGATCGAGTTGAATTTTTGGCCCGGGTTAGTAATAGGTCTGGTAAAATTCGGGTCGGGTCAATAACAAGTCAGGTTGAATTTGGGTCAGGTCAATAACAAGTTGGGTTGATTTCGGGTCGGGTTGTAACAGGTTGGGTTAAATTCGGGTCGGGCTAGGAACGAGTCGTGTTGAATTCAGGTCAGGTTAGTAATAAGTCGGGTTATATTCGGGTTTTGGCGGGTTAAAACAGGTTTTGGTCAATTTTGGTTCAAGTCGGGTTCGGTTCAGGTCAACAATTTACGGGTTACATTCGGGTCGAGTCATCTCTAGGTCAGTTCATGTTCGGGTTCGGGTCTCACATACTCGGGTCAACTCGGGTCTAGGGTTGGTTTCAGGTCGGGTTTGGGTCACCATTTTTTCGGGTTCGGATGGGTCGGTTAATCATCGGGTTTGAGTCGGTATTTCGGGCCGGGTCAACTTTTGACAGCTCTATGTCGACAGACACACACCAAAACATGATCAAATAACCCTTGATCGAACAAAAAACCCCTAATCAAGTAACCCTTGATCCAACAAATAATCTATGACTGATCGAAAAACCTTTGATTAAGTAATCTTGACAACACGAGTCACAAAACCCGAATATGATTTAGGGATTATTTATTACAGACTCCGTACTATTTATGAACCGGTGATTCACGAATTCGGAGTAGATTATTTTGTTGTTATAAAAGGGGTTAGGCTGTGTCAAAAAAAAAGAAGGGGGCTCGCTAGCGATGTTGAGTACTGGGGAAGTGGGGATTAATAACTGAAGAAAATTCCCGTAGTTGAATTCCAAGTGAAACCCTAAGTTCCCGCGGAAACGATCTTGTGCGGATCTTGAGGTATGGGTGGACATGGAGGTCTGAACATCCTTCCACAGAAGAAGTGGAATGTCTACAACTTCGACAACCGCGAGAAAGTTCGTAAAGACGAGGAAGCCGCCGCCAAAGATGATCAACTCAAGCGCGACCAATCTCGTAAGCGCGACTCCGAATTCCGCCTTCTGCAGCTCCGCCGTGCTCGTGGCGTTGATCCTCATCCCACCAATTTGAAATCGGAACCACCAATTTGCGCAGATGAACCGAAATCGGAATCGGATTCGAAGCATTTAAACTTGTTCGACGGAATAAAGATATTCGATCCAGTTGAGGTTGTAAAGAAGGTGAAGAAAGAAGACGAAGAAGGTAGTAAGAGGAAGAAGATGAAGAAGGAGGAGGTGAGGGTGGTGGGGCCTGAGGATGAGGTGTATAGGCTTGGTTATGGTGTTGCTGGGAAAGGGGTGAAGGCTCCTTGGTATACACTGAAGCCTGATAAGGAGGTGGAGGAAAAAAGGAAAGAGACTAATGGTAAGATGATGAAGAAGACCAAGAAGACAGTGGAGGAGCTTAGGGAAGAACGACTCAATAGAGAGAAGGCTGAGAAGGAGAGGGAGCGAGCTTTGCTATTGAACAAAACACCCAGTAATCATCACTATCCAAGGTATATTTTATGATTGCTATGTTTGTTGGTATTATGTTTATCTATTCGACTTTTATGTTTATAGATTTTACTCCAATTGAACTTACAGGGACCGATTTATGAGGCAACGGTGATATATGTCCTGCGTTTCAGAGACCGGATATGGAGTCATTTTTCTCTAATGGATATTGTGGGGGATTCCAAATATGTTGTTTCCAGCCCCTGTTTATTTGGTTTTCTGCTGGAGAATTGATCTGGTTCTCTTCTTGCTTCGTGCGTAAGCTCACTCTGCTTCACCTGACACCAAACTGCTGATCAGATTATATAATTGCTTCAACTACTGAGATCTCCCTTGCTCATCTCATATAAATCGAATGCTTAAACTTGTTCGCATTGTTTTGTTTGGTGATGTATATACTTACAAGTTGTAAAGACAATAGTGCATTATGTAACCGTCTCTTATTTGATATTTTTTTCCTCCTTACCCTTATGTGGTAGTATAGGTGTTATATAGCTGCCTTATGGGTAGCTGATGGCATATACTGCGGCGATCATTCATTTTAATATTGAATCTGATTGTGATTTGGTGCCTGAAAATTTGTTCATTTATTCCTTGTTTCATTGGGCTCCCTTTCCTCTCACTTCTGGTGTTTCTTATTCACATAGATTCAGAGATGGGTGTCATCCAGTCTTCCCACTTCCCCTCTCACCCCCTTATTTGTATTCTGTCCAAACAGATTGCTATACAAAATCCTTTTCTGATGAAGTATACATTTCAACACTTATGTTTTTAGAAGACTGTACGTATTAGAACTTAGGAAGTGTTGCTTTCCAAACTTTGCTTGCACTGCAGTGAAACTAATGGTGGCTGTTTGTGCAGTTGATTGTCATGGTCTCAACTTTCCAATTTGTAATTTTGTTATTTGGTTCGGTACTCTGCCTAATGTCTTGTGCTCTCCTAAGTTTTTACGAATTGTACTGTTCTCTGCCTTACTTCAAAGTTTAGGAATCGTGTATTGAGTATTGAGTTAGGTCTTATAGGAGCTGTAACCCCTTTTTGTTTCATCTACTACATTGTTTTGACCTTAGTTTCAACTTTAAAGCTTTCAAAGTACTGGGTCTGATTATTGGTACTCTTAAATCTCTTCGCTTAACAAGCCATGCCAAAAGTCAAAGGAAGGGGTGGAGAACTGGAGGTGGGTCTAGCAACAGTGTTTGTCTTGGTCAAACTTTGGTATGTTAATTTATTTGTTGTCTAATAATTGTCATAAACATTAACAATGAAGTTCAATGCTCTAGCTCTTAACATATTTTGGAATTGTTTTATATGATGCTTTTGCCTCTCCATCGAATTCTTATAGTAAAATAATGCTTTTAGAGAATTTTTTATGGATTAAAATGAACATGGAGGCCATAGCCGCCCAGGAGTTTTGACATTTTCTTACCTCTCCTATTTCTACCTTATCTAATAGCCATCTTGGTGGAATGCATGAAGAAGAAAGCCTGGAATTACACTGGCTAGTGGCATTTTTATATACGAGTATTCAAATGCTGAAAGATGACAACCCCAAACCTTTTCTACTTTGACATCGTCCCCTGTCTTACCCTTATATAGTATGCTTGGTCCCGACACTTGATTAGTGTTGTAACTCATGCTGTTAGATTGGTTTATAGAATGAAGAAGAGTAGTGCCAATCATTTCATTATCCAGAAAGCTGGAAAGGGTGACAAGAAAAGAGTGCACAACGCCGTTGAAATGGGAGCAGGGAAGAACCTACCTCTAGTTACTGCTGAAGATCTGTCAATCCCTTCTGTAAGTAATCTCATATACCTCTTCCCTGGTTGTTGTTTTATATTTTTTACTGCATTATACTCAAGGTATATTATTGTCTTTGAATGGCAAGAATTTTCAGTGATTGGATCTTTCCATCCTTGAATATGAACAATCTTGGTTGGCATACATATGTGCTTGTGCGACATTTGAAATGGGTTCATTTTCCTTTGAAGCAGAATTGCAAATGCCATGAACATTTTCCCTTTCTTGCTCTTTTTTCTTCTGAACAAATTATAAGACCTCATAGCTATTTAAATTTATCATTAATTTTGCTTAATATATTCTTAATGGTTGGTTTGATCATGAAAAACAATTTCTATCACATATGCGTTGATTGGTGTCTTATTACTTAACAAAGTTGTCATCTTCTGGTAGTAATTTCCAGCTACTAATTTGCATGAGTACCTTCTTTATTATGTGGAGGGTGGCTTGTTGATATCCTTTTTAGCTGTTGTTTCTAATAATGCAGTAAGAGTTATTGTTCATGGTCAGAAACTCAGTATATGCTGATCTAAATATCAAATCCATTAAACAAATCTAGTGAAGTATTCTAATAAATTGACTTGCTCTCATTTTGTACTTGGTCAGAATATGACGCACCAGAAAGATTCAAAAATATAAACAAAAACTAAAACAATCTCTAGATACCATTGTAGATTAACCGAACATAAGCATAATTATTCCACCTTTTTTTTTTCTCCTTTTTGTGGTGAAAGGAATTATTGTAGATGTTCATACATTGTACATGTAACGTTATATTAGTCGGTGTTCTTTCACTATCATCTCCCCATTTCTATGCAGCATCAGGTCATAGTAATGAGTGCAAACATGGGATGCAGCTCCTGCCGTGACAAAGTGTTGAGAGTTTTGTCAAAAATGACAGGTAATTTAAATCTCTGAAACATTGGAAACTTAATAAAGAAAAACTGATAAAAACCTTATTCCATCCTGTATCAGTTGGAAACCAATTGATTCTAACGTAATGAATGATGTTGACTGCTTTTTATTATTATGAAGTAATCAACCTTTACCTTGAACTGACAGGGTTTAAAGAATACACAGTGGATGTACGCAAGAAGCAGGTGATTATCAAAGGTGATGTAAAATTTTTGTGGAGTGCGAATAAAGAGGTTACTTGACTGGAGTACTTGACTGGAATACTTGACTTTGTATCAATTCTTTGATGGCAATGCGCTATCTATAACAGCAGTTTTTGGTGTAATTTACTTTTCATTTTGTGGTTAGATCAGCTAAGCTAACTACGTATGTATGGTGATAGCAGTCCATGAATTCACAGATATCCTGTCTTCTTTGCTTGTAAATTATTGAAGCTAATTGGCCTGATAGCCCTGATTTGCAACTGGATTGCGTGTTGCTGTTAGCTTTTCCAACATTTTTTTTCCCTCCTCATCAAAAAGTAAAGTAGAAAAACATAATTGTATTGTCTTTATGTATGGAAGGAGTTAAAAATATAGTAATGTCTCTATGTTCTATCAACGTATATATGGAAGGAGTTAAAACTTCAAAGTACTGAAAGTCGTCTAGAATAGATGCTTCCAACATGAACATTAGATTTGTTATTTTATTGAGCTCAAGAGCTAAAGACAAGGATTTAGAAATAAAAGCTGGTGGGAGGTTCAATCAAAGGAATGTCCAATTCTGAAAGTATTTAAATTTAATAATCTTAAAAAGTTCTGATTTATTTTAATTTTGACAAAAATCAACCAATATGCTAATCCTCAATAGTCAACTGGAGGGCGACTGGACATACCTTATGAACTAAGCTCATTTGGTATATTGGTGGCCACATAGCAATCCCAAAATTGTAGAGAATCTTGGAGTTGCACAAAAATATTTGTCAATGACCTCTGATAATGTGTGAATGAATGTGAACTTGAGACCAAATGATTCCAACCTAACCTGATAGTATACTTTGATTTATCAACCTTATTCCATAAAAACTTACGACAATTCCTCTCAATATCCTCACAAACAGAATTAGGAAGAATACTAGTTTGCATTAAATAAACAGGAAAAGAAGAAAACACAGACTCGACTAATGTACACCTTCCTGCCATATTCAATACTCCCTCCGTTTCATAATGTCATCCCATATACTATTTTGGGTGTTTCAAAAAGATCTACCCATATTGAATATATTTCATTTATAACTTAATTTTTGGAAATTAATTGATTGTGGATTGATGACATGATTCTAAATAAGGAAATTTTTACCTTAAATTTATGACTTGTGCTTTCCTAATAAAAAATCAAAAAAGCTAAACAAGGTAAACTAATTATGAATTATGTTGTACTTTAATGTTAGATTCCAAATATATTTATTTTCTTATTTTATGTGATTGATTCCATATGGGACTAACATTATAACGGAGGGAGTAATTTGGATTGCCAACCTTTAATTTGGTTGCAAGTCTTATCGAGTAAACCAAAATAATCACATTTTTTTAACTTGTAATTAATTACTCGTAACTGTCAGTAATAGCATACAAAATGCAGTTAAAGCTAATCAAATCCTAATTACAGTCATTGCTTTAAATCGGGAATTTCTTTCCTCTCATAAGTCATAATTCTACTTCTTCCCTTACCAAACGCATACATCTCCTATCTTTCAAGACTCAACAATCAATCTGCTCATGCTTTTTATGATCGCATGTTCTCCATAAATCACTACTTCAATCTTGATTCGCTCATTTTCTCTCCGATTTTGTTCTTCGTTAGCTCCCAGCTTTAACTGCATTTTCCAGGTATACTTTTTTTTTTTTTTTTCCTATCTATTTAATCCACGAGTTATACTACTATTTCGTGTTTATTTCCGATGATTCGATCAAATGTGAATTATTGTCGAAAACTAAGTTTGAATTTGTTTCGATTTGGTATCACATTTCAAATTAGGTGATTCGTTGGTAAATTCACTGAAATTAGGGTTTAAAAATCATCAATTTAAATTAGTTTCATTAAAATTTCGAGATTTAGACTGCAATCATTGACTTTCCATTATTTTCTAATAACTGTGCCCATAAACTGTTCGACAAAATGTCCAGCAAAATTTTAATGTGTTGCAGAAATTACTAGTTTTGTAGAATCAGTTAGAATCGAGGATGTGTATCTGATTGGGAGCGAAACTTTAGTTTTATATTTAGTGTTCATTTGAGGATCAGGGCACTTTAAATGTGACTATGTGTTGACAGATTACTCCATGTTTGAGAAAAAAAAAAAAAAGTGTCACGGATTACCAAATTCATTTTAAATGAGTTATATCAACGAACTCATACACAATCGATGGGCTTCTACACTATAGACACCTCACTGCTACCTTCAAAGCACTTAAATAGTTAAATCAGCTTCATTTGACAGAAGGTTAATAGTTGCATTATTTCATTTTCTAGTACTACTACTATGGGATTAATACTTATTATCTGGATAACAATGCCTACTGTTTTTATGGCATAATACAATCAAAATGTAGTTAAAATTTCAAAATACTACTTTTACTTTGTACGGTGTAAAAGTTTGATGTTGCCTGTAAATAGAAATTTAGGCTCTTCTAGCTTAATCTCTGATGTGGCTCATTGAACAAGTCTAGCGGACTTGAAGCATATTATTGAATGGGGCCTTATTTTTAAAAGCCCATTTGAATTGCACTCTTCAATTCTTACTTGATTGATTGAATTCGTACTTGTATGCTATCCTAGCAAAATCACCCTGTATTCTCTTTCTTTTTCTTTCTTTCTCTAAAATCTCTCTTTAAAGTAGTGAGATCAGAAGATGCCGGCAGTTGCTCCACGATCTGGGGAGGCCATCTTTTCCAGTGCTGAGCGTGTTGTGAGTTATTATTTTTCTTATAATTGCACTCCCATATTATTCTTCTTGGAACAATTTGATTGAAAATTACAATTGATTGTAATTAGGATTTAGGAACATATTTTAATTATTAATCAAGAGCATAAATTGATTGAAAATAAGATTGATTGATTGCATGAATTGGCTTGGATTGGTGCAATAGAATGCAGAGTTGTTTACATTAACATATGGAGCAATAGTTCGTCAACTAATTACAGATCTGGAAGAAGTTGATGAAGTTAACAAGCAGCTTGATCAAATGTAACCTCTCTCCAAATTCATTCTTAATTTTTTCATTTTCTTTGACTTCTTTATTGTGGGCCTTGTGGCATGCTTGTCAATCAATTATTTGCTCTTCTGTGGATTGGTAGATTGCTGGGTGCTGATGTGGTGGTGAACCATTGTTTAAACCTTTTTTTTTTTTTTTTCCTGATTATTATCTTGCTCTTCTTGTCTTGATTTATTACATTTAGACCTCTTAAAATATGAAGTACGGAGTATTAAACTAGTCAATATTGCTGATGAATGTTTCTGGCATGAACATTTAAAAGTCAAATTGGTTGTTAGTGTCGTACAAGCAAGTGTCCAGTTTTTAGACCTGTCTACTTCATTAAAAATTTGTATCTTTTTCATCCTAAACAAGTTTTAAGTATTTTCCATGGGTGTTTGAAGTAAAATGAAGAGTCTGATAATATTTGTGAAGTATTGTGCATCTCTTAGTACCCCCTTTTCAGCTGAATTTTGGTTTAATTACCGGTTCATGCAAGGCCTGCATTAAGTAGTACTAAAAGTCCAAAACTTTATCAAAGCTTTTGGATTCATAGCGATGATTCTTTTGGCAATGATATGTAAAGCCAACATCACTTCTCGCCTAGACTGTAAAAGGTTTTAATTACTGGTAAGATATTCTGCAGTTGAAATGTTATGTGCTAGACATTATGTGATAGGTAAGGATTTTTTTGACACTTCACTTATTATAACTGAACGTCATAACAACTTGGTGATAGATACTAGATGATTAATTAGGTCTTTTTTTTTTAAATGCCGATATCAAGTCTTGCTTTTTCATGTAAGTGTAGGAACATTTGTGCATTTTCAAGCGTCCAAACTTAGCAGAAGTTCTATTTTAAAAATTCCTTGTAGCGAATAAACTTGCTGTAACTCAAAATTTATAATGGGCTGTGTCTTCCCTTTTTCTTGCTTTGGTTTTACATTGCCGAAACACATTAGTTATCTGTTGTGTCTCAACCTGTAATTGTTTATTTGATGTTCAATTTTCTTGTAGGGGTTATAATATTGGTGTGCGATTGATTGATGAGTTCCTAGCAAAATCCAATGTCTCTAGATGTGTGGACTTCAAGGAAACTGCTGAAGTCATAGCAAAGGTTATATTTCGTGCTGTATTTCTTATTATTGTATACATGCAAATTTGAAGTGCGTTCTTTTCAGTTACCTATCTTAGTTATCTATTGATTACAGCAGTTGATCTGTCTCAGTTAGATGCACTTTAGTTCCAGTATTCCTCAACTGAATCGGCTACTATTCCTTAACTCTGACATATGACATTGAGTAAATTTTCCCCTCAATTGGTATTTCTTTGATGTATGACTGATTGTAATTTTACATCAATACTTGTAGCAGGTCGAATGAATTAAGCTACATTTGTATGCATCAGTAATTTTAAGCTTATAAACTAGTAAACCACAAATGTGTGACATGTTTTTGTACAACTAAGGTAATTAAAAACAATTAATTCTATCTTGTTTCTTTTTAGCTAAATTGTAAATTTAGGTCAGTCTCAGTGAACTCCTGTTCTGAATTTTTCCTTCTTGTAATTGTACAAATAATACAGTTGTTCGATTGTTTTTAATTAAACATGAATAATATTCGCTTTGTATAAGTTATTTGTGAGAGGGAGTGAGAGATTAAAAGAGAATAAAAAACCTACAAGTATATGATTATGTTTAGCCTCCTTAAAGACGGATTAATGTTATTCTAATGATGTTTATTATAAGAGAAGCTTCCAAAGTTTTGAAGTTGGTATCTGTTTGTGACTTGAGTAATTGTCATGCTATGATAAGCCCTGTTTAATGTGATGAATGTTGAAAAGCTAGTCTTGTCTAATAGCATATTAGCTGATGGCTTTGTAAGATAGTGTTTTCTATGTTGTTGATTATCCTATGTGCTGGGAACAAAAATATTGTTATTGAACAGCATACAGGCACACCATATATTTCTATAATTTTAGAAAGAAAACATCCTTTATTTTGTTTATTGTGGTTTATAGGTGCTTTTTGAAGACTTTCTAACAGAAATGTATGGCATGCTAACAGGTTGGCTTCAAAATGTTTCTGGGGGTGAGTGCAACAGTCACTAATTGGGATGCAGAGGGAACAACTTGCAGCCTTGTCTTGGAGGACAACCCTTTGGTAGATTTTGTTGAGCTTCCTGACACGTGCCAAGGCCTTCACTATTGCAATGTTTTAAATGGTGTGGTCAGAGGGGCACTGGAGATGGTGAGTACTTGTTATCTAATGCTAGTTTTATCTTCTTGTCATATAATCATATTAGTGTAGTGTTATAGACCGGGATCGGTTGTAATACTACTGAAGTAAACGGATTCAATTAATGGAAGAAGGGCGATTTCTCATATAATTAATCAAAGGATTACAAGGGATATTTTAGTAGCTTGAGGCTACAAGTCTCCAAGCCACTTGAGGTAGCCACTCTCTTGGTTTGCCTTACAAATTTTTGGATGAAAACTACTACATGGTAGAACTAACATACTTAAACTATTGATCAAAGGTGATCTTAGGGAGATGCTTGTGACTACTTTACTAATTAGGAAAAACCATAAATGAACATAGCAAAAGATGGTTGCCTTTCTTTCCTTCTTCTTAATTGTTTTTGGCCCTTAGCAAAGAAATGCCTTCCCTATGCTGCTGGTTGCTGCTGCCCTTTCTTGCGCCTCGAATACACCACCCACGGTTGACTTGGGTCCATGACAATACTTCCCCCCCAAAGCTTCAGCTTGTCCTCAAGGTGGAAAGATGGAAAACGATCCAAGATTGTTTGATAATTCTCCCATGTCGCTTCGAACATCGGTAAACCTGACCACTGAATGAGAACCTCTAGGACCACCGTGTTACCTCCCTACGCTTGCGGACATCGAGTAATTTCTCAGGCTCGACATTCAATTCGAGGTCAGCGGTAAGTTGCTCCGGGATAGTTTGATTGCCGGTGCTAGCCCCCGTAGCCTTTTTCAATTGGGACACATGGAAAGTGGGGTGAAGTTTGCAAGAACTGGGTAGATCGAGTTTGTATGCCACCTTGCCTATTCGCTGAAGAACCTTGAAAGGGCCGTAGAAGCGAGCAGCTAACTTCTCGAACGGTCGCTTGGCCAAGGAACGATGTCGATGAGGACGGATCTTTAAAAACACTTCATCTCCCACCTCGAACACCTCTTCGCGGCGGTGCTTATCCGCGTGCTTCTTCATGATCTGCTGCCCTTTGAGCAAATTAAGCCGCAACTCATCTAGCATACAATCCCTTTCTCTAAGTTGCTCCTCCAGGGATCCCAAGGGATCCCACCGGAGTCTGTCCCACTCCCACCTTCAGCAGCTTGGGCGGTTCGCGGCCATAGACCACCTTAAAGGGTGTGGTTTTAGTGGCCGTATGAGGGGAAGTATTATATGCATACTCCGCCCACGACAGCCACTGAGCCCACCTTTTTGGCTGACTGCAAGCATAACATCTCAGATACACTTCAAGGTTCTTGTTCACAATCTCAGTCTGACCGTCCGATTGTGGGTGGTACGAAGTACTTCTCTGTAATTGCGTGCCCTGTAGTCGGAATAACTCGTTCCAAAATATACTCAAGAACACCCGATCTCTGTCGGAAACAATTGACGAGGGAAACCCGTGCAGTCGAAACTACCTCTTTCATGAAGAGCTCCGCCACTTTAAGGGCGGTGAAAGGGTGTTTCAACCCCAAGAAATGTGCGTATTTAGAGAACCGGTCCACCACCACCAAAATTGCATCCACCCCTTTTGATGGCGGCAAGCCTTCGATAAAGTCCATGGACACATCTTCCCAAACGGCCGTCGGTACCGGAAGTGGTTGGATCAATTAATGAGGTTTTGGTCCAATACATTAAGAAAAGAACTGCTTACTTATGCCTATATAGAAATATAAGATAGCATGTTTTTTTTTACTGACACACAAAGAAAATATTTTGTTGTGAATGAACAAGATATTGAGGAATTGTCTATACGTAAAATCAGAATTATTGCTACGGGCCTAGAAACAAGTAAATCGCGAAAAAGAGGAAAGAGAGGGATTCGAACCCTCGGTACGAATGACTCGTACAACGGATTAGCAATCCGACGCTTTCGTCCACTCAGCCATCTCTCCCGTTGAAAAGAAAAAAGGAATAGTCAAATAGCGTGCAATGATGTGGTGGTGAACCTCTCATTCGAATTCAGTGCTCTCCGAACCGTGCGGGAGGGTTTCCCATCACACGGCTCACCAACTTGATTTTCTGCGGAAACCTTATGTGAAACCTTGTTCCTTTGACAAACATTGTATGATCCAACATACTCACCCACCGCCTTGCGCATCCCAGGCCAGTACCACTCGGCCGCCGCTCGGAGGTAGGTCTTCACCTCTCCACCGTGACCACCCATCGGAGAGTCATGGTACTCTTGTAGTAGTTGAGGAATGATGCTTGCTGACTTTGGAAGGACAATTCTTCCTTTGTACTGGACTTGCCCATTAATTAAAGTGAAACCATTGGGCCCAACTTCATTGGGCCTTAGCCCTCTTTTAATTTCAGCAATCCACTCATCCTTCTCTATCTCTTGATTCATCTTGTCCCGGTTGATGTTTTGAGTACTCAACAGCGTATTCAACTCGCATGGCTTTCTCGATAATGCGTCGGCCACCCGGTTAGAGGCTCCGAGTTTATATTGGACTTCAAAATCGAACCCCACTAACTTCCTCATCCAACGTTGATATTCATTTCCCACCTCATGTTGTTGCATTATGAAGCGAAGACTTTGTTGATCCGTTCGCACTACAAAGTGTCGACCCAATAGATAATGCCTCCATTTGACAGTAGCTAAACAAATTGCCATAAGCTCTTTCTCATAAATGGACTTAGCTTGAGCCCTCACCCCTAAAAGCTTGCTATAATACGCAATCGGACGACCTCCTTGCATCAAAACCGCTCCGAGTCCATAACCGGAAGCATCGGTTTCAAGGACAAACTCTTTTTTAAAATCGGGCATGGCAAGTAACGGTGCGGTGGTCATTGCCTTCTTGAGTCTTTCGAAAGCCTCGGTAGCCTCCTCGGTCCACCCATACGCCTCTTTCTTGAGTTGTGCGGTTAGTGGCCCGGCCACTTGAGCATAGTGGGCTATGAACTTGCGGTAATAGCCCGTCAAGCCTAAGAACCCTCTCAACTCCTTGAGATTTTGTGGGCTGGCCCAATCAAGGATGGCCTTGATTTTTTCATTGTCCATTGCCACTCCTTGCCATGATATAATATGCCCCAAGTAGGCTACCCTTTGACTTCCAAACTCACACTTTTTGTAATTGGCATATAATTCATGCTCTGCCAACTTGTGAAGCACTTGTTGCAAATGATCTTGGTGCTCACTCTCATCCTTGCTATATACAAGAATATCGTCGAAAAAGACTAACACAAATTTCCTTAGGAATGGCCTAAAGATGTCATTCATGAGGGATTGGAAGGTGGCCGGGGCGTTAGTCAACCCGAAAGGCATAACGAGGAACTCGTAGTGCCCCTCATGAGTGCGAAATGCCGTTTTGTGGGTGTCCTCGGCTCTCACTCGAATTTGATGATACCCGGATTTTTAATCCAATATCGAGAAAATGGCCGCGCCATGGAGCTCATCTAGAAGCTCATCAATCACCGGAATTGGATACTTGTCCGGCACGGTTTCACAATTGAGAGCCCGATAATCGACGCAAAACCTCGATGATTTGTCTTTCTTCTTCACTAGTAATACCGGACTTGAAAACGGGCTCGTTGAAGGTTTAATTATTCCGGCTTCTAGCATCTCTCGAATCAACCTTTCAATCTCGTCTTTTTGAATTTGTGGGTATCGGTACGGCCTTACACTAACCGGATCCCGACCCTCCTTCAAAACAATTGCATGCTCCCTGCCTCTAGAAGGGGGTAGCCCCTTTGGTAAGTGAAAAACCTTATTAAACTTCTTTAAAATAGGCCCAAGTATTCTGGCAGCCCAACACCCTTACAAGGCCCATTAGTGCCTTTTCCTTTCTCTTGGGCCTGCTTAATCTGATAAATCTCCACCCATAGTCCACTTCTTTGCTTTGTGATGGTTCGAAACATAGCCTTGAGGGAAATAAGTGTGGCTTCCAAGGACGGATCTCCGATGAGTTTAACCGGTGTTCCGGCCATTGTGAAGCTCATCTCGTGCGTCTTCCAATTCGTCGTGACCGTACCGAGTTTCTCCAACCATTGTACTCCTAATATGATGTCGGAACTACCAAGACCGAGCGGCAAGAAATCTTCTACCACGGTCACCCCTCCACTCAATTTGACTCGAACTCCTTGACACACCCCTTTTCCACGAACGGTATCCCCGTTCCCGAGAGAAACTCCGAATTCTCCCCCTTTCGTGAGAGGAATTTGAAGCTCCTCCACCAACTTGGTGGCAATAAAGTTGTGAGTTGCTCCCGGATCGATCATCACTACGACTTGTCTACCCTTGACCACCCCTTTAAGTTTCATTGTCTTCGGGTTGGAAATACCGAATACCGAACAAAGGGAGACCCCCACATTGGGCTCGGGTTCCTCCCACTCCTCTACGTGGACACCTTGCGTGGAGTAATTCGCATTCATCTCCTCCTCTTCGCCCCCTACTCCGGCAATTAAGACACTCATCTCCTTCCTCTTGCAACGGTGTCCAACACCCCACCTCTCATCACAACGAAAACAAAGCCCCTTGGCTCTCTTCTCTTGGAGTTCACTTTCCGTGAGTCTTCTGGGCCCATTGCTGACTTTCGATGCTTGCTGGGATGAACTGGGTGGCCCACGTTAATGGAGCCCTGTGACTCGGGGCCCGTGGCCAAGCCCGGTTGTTGGGTGTGGAAGAGGGTAAGCCGTAGGATTGGATCAATCCCCCTCGACTCCGGTTCACGTTCTGGGTTTGGGCCAGGCCCATGTGACTTGGTCCACCCCTCCAAGATGCTGAATTTCCCTTGCCCCCTCCATGCACCCTGTTCCTTTCTTCAATCCGCCCAGCCAAATCCATGGCTCTCTCCAAGGTCATAGGATTCAATAACCTTAGTTCCGCCTTAATTTTCTCATTCAACCCATTCACAAATTGGCCAAGCATTAAACTTTCCAGTATATCCTCTAATGGAAAAGCAAGTTCGATGAACTTACGTCGATATTCTTCCACGGTGGTCACCTGAGAAACGGCGAGCCACTGCTCGTGGAGGCTGCCGGCGTTCGAAGGCCGGAATTCTCGTAGCAGGCGGTCCTTCAGGTCAATCCACCCTCCAAATGGCCTTCTTTTGTTCTCCCAGTGAAACCATTGCAGTGCCGCGCCGTCCATCGCCACCACGGCCGCCGACACCTTGTCCTCCTCCGTTAACCGGTAAAAGTCGAAATACATCTTAGCTCTCATGACACAGTTATCAGGGTCTTTTCCTTCAAACACCGCAAATCTAATTTCTTGTTTTTCCACCTCACGCGTCGCACCACCCTCCATTCTGGCATACCGAACCCCCCATGGCGAGGAGTCCTCACCTCATTCTCCCCGTGGTTCTGACTGTTTTCACCGTTTAATGGTATGAGTGGCGGAGGTGGTGGTTGTCTGGGTTGCACCGTCGTGGCCAGTGCTGCGCGCACTTCTTCTTGAAACTTCTCCCGTTCTTTGGCTGCCATTGCTACTTGTAAGTCCTGGTCGGAACGAAGGCGGTCAAACCGCCCTTCAATCCGCACTCTGCTTTCCTCCTGTCTCTTTTGTTCAGCTTCGAAGAGGGCGGTGAAATTGTCGGTAATTGCTTTCTGAGTGTCGGCCATGGCCCTGGTTACGGCTTCCGCGACTGCACGACCAATGGAGTTGCCTTGGTCAGTCAGCTTCTCCTCAATTGATTTCAGCCTTGACTCGACTTCCTCCAATTTCTCATCCACCGCGTCGGCGCGTTGGGTCAATGAAGGTCCGCCGGCCATGATCGGATGCTCTGATACCAAGTTGTTATAGACCGGGATCGGTTGTAATACTACTGAAGTAAACGGATTCAATTAATGGAAGAAGGGCTGATTTCTCATATAATTAATCAAAGGATTACAAGGGATATTTTAGTAGCTTGAGGCTACAAGTCTCCAAGCCACTTGAGGTAGCCACTCCCTTGGTTTGCCTTACAAATTTCTGGATGAAAACTACTACAAGGTAGAACTAACATACTTAAACTATTGATCAAAGGTGATCTTAGGGAGATGCTTGTGACTACTTTACTAATTAGGAAAAACCATAAATGAACATAGCAAAAGATGGTTGCCTTTCTTTCCTTCCTTCTTCTTAATTGTTTTTGGCCCTTAGCAAAGAAATGCCTTCCCTATGCTGCTGGTTGCTGCTGCCCTTTCTTGCGCCTTGAATACACCACCCACGGTTGACTTGGGTCCATGACATGTATTACTTGTTTTCATATTGAAGCAGAGTGTGCTACTGAAGTCTAATTTTCAGATTGGCATTATAAGCTGATAGGAGCTATTATTATTATCTTGTGGAGCATGCCTGTGAGTTTGCTGTCATGTTACAGTTAAATTTGTCACCTATGTTTCCAATCGTATATGCAACTTTCATCCTTTGGAAAGGAATTAATGAAAGTTAACCTTTCTACAGAGTCATCGTTGCCATATTTATCTTTTGGGCTACATTCCTACATATAATCAGTACATCTTCCCCTTCACCTGTATATATAGGTATCAATGAAGACAGAAGTTACATGGATTCGTGATATGCTTCGTGGGGATGATGCGTATGAACTGCAAGTCAAACTTCTCAAGCAAATTCCAGAAGAATACCCATACAAGGATGATGAATGATGTCTAACTTCTCGATGTTGTTATGTATATTGTCCCCCAAGGTTTGGATGCCTACTTTTTCTGCACTATTCAATTAGTTCTGGGATACTCAACTTGAAGTAGGTTTCCCTTTTTTTTTTTTTTTTTTCGTTCTGCACTCAAATACCTGTGGGGAACATGCTGTAGTTAAATTTGCCTATGTGGTAGTAATGCTTTATGTAATAGGATGCTCAAGAACTGTATTGTTCCTGCTGCCTTTTACGCATTTGCATTCATCCAACATGTTGCGGGATTATATTGCAAAAATAACCTGTTTTTAGCCCTAGAAAGTACTCAAAGTAGCGCTTTTTTTTTCCTTCTCTTGCTCTTTATTTTGCCCAAGGATCTTATAATGTAATTTCCCTGCCCAAGTATATGTTATATGTGAGATAAAATAAGTGGAGTAAGAATGTTTATATATACCAAGTATATTTTTTAAGAAAAATTGACCAGTTTGACTGTATGAGTGCAACAATTAGTGTTTTTTGTGTGTGTGTGTATGTGTGAGACTGTGAGTTTGGGAAACAAGTGCAACAATTATGTCAATATAACTCTTAAAATCTGTTTTTCGTAAAAATTAAGGCTTATACAAACTTTTGGGTAATTTCTCTATTAATAAGCTTTTTTCATCTTAAATTTGCCTAATTTGTTTGAAACTTATTAACATGGAGCTTTACATTTTGGAAATTTCTTGAAGAACATAATATATTTTTGAGCTTATTTTTCTTAAATTGAACTTACCAAAGCTTGTACTCCGTAAGTATGAAATGAACTTGAGTAGCTTTTGATTGTCATACTTGCCCCAACCTTTGATTTTTTTTTTTTTTTTTTTTGGTTTTGTTTTTTTCTCTCTCTCTGCTTGAGTTTGATAGCTCAAGGTAGCAGAGAAGTAGGCACACTACTGCTATGCACTAGAGAGTAAGCACAGATAGAAGCATGCACTCTGTTTTTAAGAGGCCAGCAGAGATATTAGATTGAAAAACCAGGGCATCATTAATACTATTGACAGCCAAGAATCAGATGTTTCCAAATTTGTGCAAATTTTGTTTCATTTCGAAAGTCGGTCCAAAAAGCTTAAAAAAGATTTTCTATAAATGGTTTTACTGATTGGTATTTAGTAGACCTGGCAATCCTGACCCGATGACCCAACCCAAATGACCCGAAATCGACCCAATACCAGTGACCTGAAATTGACCCAAAATCCGAATTAACCCGACCCGACTCATACCCGACCCGAAGTGGAACTGACCCGAACTTGACCCGAAACCCGAAATGACCCAACCCGAAACGACCTGACCCGAAGTTGACCGGGGACCCGAAAAGACCCGACCCGAAGTTGACCCGACCCGAAAATGACCCGACCTTTAACTTCTTTTAGTAAATAATTATAGGAAAAATTGAAAAGAATAATCCCACCTTTGCCCGATCTGCTCAAAACGAGCCAACCTTTGAATATTCCGGGAACAAGCCAACCTTTGCCCCCTATTTTCTCAAAACAAGCCCATGACCGGTTTTATAATTTAGTAACTGATTTTAGAAGGTGACTTGCCACGTGTCACCTTTTAATTGGTCCTATTTTTTTAATTTAAAAAAAAAATCAGAACTCCTTCCCTCTTCCCGGGCCACACCCTTCTCCGCCGGAGAAGCCCATTCCTCTTCTAGGAACATGCTCCTATCACCCCTTTCCCCACCCACTGGCAGCTACCACTCCCTTCCTCGTCGAAAATCAGCCGCTACCACCCCCTTCCATGAGTTCTTCTCGTACTCCAAGGTGGGTTTAATTGGGACTTTCGCGGGGTAATGTGGAGTGGTTTTCGGTCCAATTGGGTCAGAATGGGTGGGGTTTTGGTCCGACGCAGCGGGTTTCGGGAATGGGATTTGATGGAGTGGTGGTTAGGTGAGAGAAGGTTGGATTTTAGTTAGGTGGGGATAGGGTTCGATTAAAGGGGACGTGGTCTGTGGGGGTCAGTAGTAGGGCCATGGGCGGTGGAGATTTGGTCTGATGCAGCGTGTTTGGGGGTTGGCTGGTGTTTCGCGTAGTTGAGTGGTGGTGAGGTGAAAAGTGGTGGTTCAATTAAGGGAGGTTTTGTGGTAGGGGTTAGTGGTGGGCTGGTGTGGTGGTGATCAGATGTAAACTAGGGTGGTGGCGAGCAGAGGTAAGTTGTGATAGGTGGTGGGAGTGACTGTTATGCAGGGGTAGTGGTGGTGATGAGGTGGCTGTTATGGAAGATTGGAGGGGTAATGGTGGTGAAAGTTAGAGGAGAGAGATTAAGGAGAAAATATTAAGAAAAAAAAAAAATTAACCTGCTTAAGAGGTTGCAAGTCAAAGACCCATTTTAAGAAAATAGAGGTGAAAGGTGGGCTTATTCCCAGAATACTTAAAGGTTGGCTCGTTTTGAACATATTGGGCAAAAGTCGGATTATTCTTTTCAATTTTTTCATAATTATATAAGTTATAAAAAGTTTATATTAGGAAATTATACATTAAAATAGACCCAACAACATCTTACATGACTACATTGACTTTCATATAATAGCTAAAAAAGATGGTCAAAGTGAGATGTGTGAATAGTGTAAAATGTCAAATCGTTAAGAGTAATTTGGGACGGAGTGAGTATAAGAATAATTCAAAGAAATTATTACAACAATGACAATGATAATAAGAGTACGTATTAAAACTAAGATCAATAAGAGAGTGAGGTATAACTCAATTAGTTAGAGCATCCCTCTTAGTTTCAGGAGATCCTGAAAGGGATTCTCTGTCTAAACACACACACACACACAAAAAAAAAAAGGGTTAATAAAAGTCAAACAATTACTATAATCCATGAAAAAAATAGCCTTAATAAATATAGTGAGTTTTTCGTCAAAAAATAAATAAATAAATATATATGCAGAGTTGAATTTAACCCAATGAATCAGCCGAATATGACTCGACTCGAAGTTGACCACACCCAAAGTTGACCCGAAAATTGGACCTGAAAATTGACTCGACCCAAACTGACCCAACCCGAAAATTGACCTGACCCAAACTGACCCGACCTAAAGTGTTGACCCGACCCAACCCGATTATCAATCGACCCGAAATCAACCCGAAACCCGAAATGACTCGAACCAACCCGAACTTGACCCGATAACCTTTTGACCCGACCCAAAATGACCCGACACGAATGACCCATTTGCCAGGTCTAGTATTTAGTACATTGTACTCGGTAATTTCAAAGTGGGCAGTAATCTTTCATTTTTAAATGAAAATTTCACATTTGCTACCAGCAAAAGGACCCTTTTTCACATTTGCTACCCCTTTAATTTTTTATTTTATATTACTACCACCCAAACACACTAACTATTATAATCACTACCACTTGACTTACACCGTTAGTATTTCCGTTGCCACCACCCAACCACCGTCCAGCCACCAGCTGCCAATCCGCCGCAACAACCACTCACCGTCCAGCCAGCCACCAAGCCACTGCCATAGTCGCCTGAGCCCAATCCCCTACCGCCTGCGACTCCGACCACCCTGACTGTCGGCACCGGCGTCGCATTCCCAGCCCCCGAAAACCCGATCAGCCCCTCTCTCCCCTCGAAACCCACCTCAATCTCAGCCCCTCTCCCCTCGAAAACCTCCGTCGATCCCAGCCCCTCTCTCCCCTACCCCCATTGATCCCAGACTCTCTCTCCCCTCGAAACCACCGTCGATCCCAGCCCCTCTCCCCTCGAAACCCCCGTCAATCCCAGCCCCTCTCCCCTTGAAACCCGATCCAGCCCCTCCTCGTCCCCCGTTCCCTATTCTGGTCGCGACGAAGGATTTCCCTGCCACCAAAAACCACCCTATGCGAAACCCTAAAACTCGTTTAGGGTGGTTTCGGGCAGGGGGATTAGTGTTAGGATTGTCGGTTTTGGGTGGGGAAGGGGAGGGGTCCGATTCCGACCCGAATCGCCGGCAGGGTTTGGGCGCTGGCCGCTGGCAGGGAGAGGGGGGAGGGTGGATGACGGGGAGGGCTTGGGTTTTTTGGGTGGTTTTTTCATTTTATATTTATTTATTTATTATTTTAATTTTTTTTAATTTTTTAATTTTGTTTTTAATAAACTTAACGGAAATCTAACGGATTCCGTTAAGTGGTAGTGATTCTGAAAGTTAGTGTGTTTCGGTGGTAATAAAATAAAATAAAATTTTAAAGGGATAGCAAATGTGAAACATGGTGCTTTCCCTGTTAATAAATGTTCCTTTTTAAAAATTAATACTTAGCAGATTTTATTGTTTCACTTAAGGGTACCCTATAACACTGTTCGTAATTCGGTGCACTGCATAAGGTAAGCGAGCATACCTAGGCTACAAGCCTACAATCCCCAACATTGACAAAAAATTTGGTGAAAGCAATTTAAAATACTCAAAAGTCTCTTATATTCTACTCCGTAATTTCAAAGTGGGCAGTAATCTTTCATTTTTAAATTTAATACTTCGCAGATTTTATTGTTTCACTTAAGGGTACCCTATAACACTGTTCGTAATTCGGTGCACTGCATAAGGTAAGCAAGTATACCTAGGCTACAATCCTACAATCCCCAACATTGACAAAAATTTGGTGAAAGCAATTTAAAATACTCAAAAGTCTCTTATATTCTACTACGTACAAATAATCCCAATTACCACTAGTCATGAAATTTATCATATCGTTTACTGGTTAATTCATTCATTATTCATTAATCTTGTTTAGAAGTATTGAAATAAATATTTTGAACAACAAATAAATCAACATACAAAGTAGTCAATATCATACGATAAACTTGTAATACCCTTTTAAGTTTCAGTACTAAATAGAGTTTACATATTACTCTATCTAAAATCTTAGAACTTGATATGATGATATATATTAGTGGGAATTGGGAAGAGCAAAAAAGGCATTAAACCATGGATAAACCACTACTCTGAGCTTGCTTGATATGAAACTCAAACAAGCACGTAAAGCACATTAGTACTAGCTAATTGATATCATAATAATAGACAATCAACCTACAACTAAGACCATAATGCAAGGTTAGGTACGTATTGATTTAAGTCTAGCAAACCAATACTTGCTGGCTACTTCCTACACTGGGTGGAACGTCGCGGCAGCTTATCCATGACCACCTCGATGTTACGATATACTACTGGTTTGGGAGCTTCACCGGGCTTAGAAGGAGGTTCATATAAATGAATATTGGAAGGAGGATCCGCAGAAGCGCTCTTGGAAGCTATAAACCTAATGACACCATCTCTGATATCGTGCTGAACAATCTGGTACTGGCAGCATTCACATTTAGGAATCAAGGAACCAATGTAGCCACGGCAACCCTCGTCGAACATGGAGTCTTTTTGAGCAGCATCAACGGCGAAGGTGATGCTTCTGTCCGCGTTCTCGGTGATGCAGAACAATTGGTAGTTCACCATTGGAACATCCAATCGGACATAAATCAGATGCTGATTGTTACCAACATTAACAATTTTGTGCTCATACACCCCCTTAACCCCACTTAGCAGATGCCAGTTGATGTGCTCGGGCCTACCTCCCCTCAATTTTATCCCTAATAATGATAATAATAATTACAAGTCAATGAATATTAGAAATTACTTATTAATAATACGAGGGAAGAAGTTAATAACCAGAAGGCTCTTCAGGGGCGTGTTCAATGTAGGTAATAAAGCGCTCCCCTAAAAGCTCGATGAATTCAACTGCATAAATAAAATTAAAAAAAAAAAAAAAATTACAACTTTATAAATGCATTGCATGTGGAAATGAAAAAAAGGAAAGAAATTACCAGTATCATCATCATAATGTTGGGGTTGGAGAAGAGAAGAGTTAGAAGGAGAGAGAAAATGGAGGGAGCCATCAGAGGCAGGGAAGAACAAATGGAGTGTGCCATTCTTAAGCTGAGATTGGACGCTAACAAGAGTAGGGTCTCTGTCTAGTATAACATAGCCACCATAAACCCTGTCCGATGTATCAAAGTGGGGCCACACCATCGGTGCTTTTCCGGTGAAGGTAACGGTGCGGCTGTCGGAGTACTTCCATATCTTAACGCCGCCGCTTTCGGGGACACCGGGCATGTCCACCCTAACGTACAACCCACGGCAACTCTGACCGTTGGTCCAGGTTCCGTTGACCTGTTTAGCCTCGTAGGCTCCCTTGGGACCGTGCTTCTGGTAGGGATGAAGCTTCACCTCTTCCTCTGCAAAAACAAAACATCACAATTTCGTTATTTTATTTATTTTAAAATTTAAACAAAAAAATAACAAATTTAATTAGAATGGGAATGGAGTAGCAACGAACCAGAAGAGAGAGATGAGGAGGAGGAGGAAGAAGACGGAGCAGCTGCCATTAATGATTAATTGATATTTGAGAAAAGGGTTGGCGTGGAAGAGTGGAGAAGTGAGGGTAGAGTGAGTGTTTGTGTGTTGCGTGAATGTGTAATGACTAAATGACAAGTATATAAATGATGAGTTCATCTCTCCTCTCATCTGAGGGAATATAATTTAAATCGGTAAAACAGGGCAGGGGTAGTGCCAGCTGCCACCTGCACACTGCTAGTATCAGGGGTATAAATGTCATACTATTCCCTATTCATTTTCTGCTACGAGTACGTTTTCATTACTCCCACTCCTATACTAGTCTAGTATACTACTACTATGTAATGAAGCTCAACAAACAATATACGGAGTACAAGCAAACTTGATACTGTAGTTCCAATCACCTAAATCATCAAATGGTTTCCCTACGTCTTGTGAGGCCATACAAATCATTTACACATCTTTATTTTCTAGACCTGAAATATAAATTGTCTAAAGGTTATAATCTACATTTTTAGACCAATCAAAAAATTTCTTCTAGAAAAGTGAATACGTAGTGTATCTTTAATAAGGTCATAGGACCATTAAGTTAAGTTTATACGAGTAACAAATTTCACAACGAATTTGATTTTATTGAAATATGATTGTTTAGTAATATTGTTGCATTATTAATAGTCAACAATTGTAAGAAATGGTTATAATTACCTATTTTATATTCTAAAATGCCGTTATAAGGTGACAACAAAAACCTAAATGCTTAACTTTGTTACGTTTTACGATCTTTATAATCTTACGATCTCTATAATCTAAATTTTAAAACAATCTCTATAATCTAAATTTAACTGTTATAATTCCCAAGAAAAAAAACACCCCCGCCCCCCAACAAATCTCCATAATCTCTTAAATAGACAAGGTCGAAATTTGTTCCACACTTTTTTAGACCTTATTTAACATATCCCTCAAGGTCATAACTTAGATTTGACACTATAATGGAACTACCAATAGGTTATAAAGTTCCAACAATAAGTTTTGGTTTAACTATATGGCTTCTCGAAATTATATAACATTTAGAATTCTACCAGAAATAACATTCTTAGTTCTAATATTACGGAAAGAACATCAATGCATAACTTTATCATTCCTTAAATATTGGGTGATTATACTTTGTCAAGAAAAAATTTACCATAGTAAAATAACTTTGAAAAAAAAAAAATAACTTAGAAAAAAAAAAAAAACAAAAAACAAAACTCATACTTGGAAAACAAAAAAAAAAAAAGGATGATTATACATTAGAAGTAAAAGTTTCATGGCAACATATTAACATGGATTATTGAATTTATTTGGAACAAACTAGAGGAGGATTGCATAAAGTACCAAAAATCAACCCTTAACAAGATTAATCGATATAGTAGCTCATACTGATATTAGCGAAATAACACTAGCCAACACATTAATCAACAACACATTAATCAACCATAACATTGAAAACATCTTTCTTCTCTTCTTCCTTGAGCTTAGGAACAATAACTTTGAGCACACCATTCTTCATCTCAGCCTTGATACCATCAATCTTGTAGAGGTTTGGAGTCAACTCAATCCTGCTCGAGTACCTCCGACGCTGCTCTTCTTCCTCCGTCTCTTTCTCGGCCTCGCCTTTGATGATGAGAGTGTTATCTTCCACAGAAACCTTGACATCTTCTTTGGCCAAACCAGGCATATCAACCTTCAATTGAAGAGCTTCTTCGTCCTCCCGAACATCCCAACCTCTTCTCACAGCTCCTCCACTTCCAATGCCTCTGAATGGATTCTCCATCAACTGATCCATCAGGTTCATCAGCTGCCCCACACTCCTCGTTGGCGCGAATGGATCTAAAACATCTGTAATTGTAATGTACCACATTCCAATTGATTCTTATTTTTCATTTTCATTTCGATTTCAAAAGAAAATCAGAGAGAGTAAGAATTAAGAAATATACCTGAGAAAAAGGAAGCAGGAAAGTCACGACGGCGTGAGACAGGAGCACGGTCAGAGCGATCTTCAAGGTCGTGATCGTGATCAACCCTGGCCATCTGAGCATTGGTATTGAAGGACCGACTCACGGTAAGTGGTCGGAGAATACTGCCGGAAACAAAGTTTTTGCCGGCGAGTCGTCGGAGAGCCAAAGACGCCATGACTAAATTAGAATGGTAGTCGTAGGTGAAAAGAGAGGATGATTTGTGAATTGTAAGCAGTACCGTATTACGTAACAATTGATTTGGAGTGTGACTGTGGAGTGTGGTCTATATAGCCAAAAGAAGGCGGTGGATTAGAACAACCAAGAATTGTATCGAATCTTCTACACACTTGCCAAGTGCTTCTACGTGTTTCTGGGAGACTTGAAGTAGTCTGGAGAAGCTTCTACACAACCTTTTTTTTTTTTAACGACGGTCTTTCGGTTTCTTTTTCCCCAAGCTTATATGCAAAAATATCTTCCCTCCCTCTTTTTTTTTCCAAATTATCTCAATTAAAAATTTGAAAGTTAATGGTTTCAAAAAAAAAAAATAAAAAAATTGAAAGTTAAGGTTTAGAAGATAGTGTTTTCAATTGACGTACGAGTATTAGAGCTGTAGCTAATTAGCTATATAGGCTATTTTAAATTTTTTCAAATGCATTTTTTTTAGAGGGTAATGTTATATACAGTATTTAAACATTTAATATACTTCATTTTTTAGTATTAAGTTGAGAATTTATCGACAATTTACGAGTAAATCGGTGTAATAAATGGTTATTAACTGCCAATTCTTTCCATTTTTAGCTTCTTATATGCAGCCCTTAGGGTTGCATATTTTTTTTCCTTTTTTAAAACATTAAAATAGCAATATTAGAAACAATTAGTGTGTGCTTATGGCAAATCTGGAAATTTTAGCATCAAAATAAGTATTATTTTATTTTTAACTCACATTATTATTCTGAAAATTTAAGAAAATTAAACAAACAAACCCCTGAGTACAACTGTACAATACGACTAAAAATCACCCTTAATGAATTTAAGACTTGATGAATTTAAGAATTAGTGGGAAATTTACCTTATGACTTTGAAATCATTCCTTTAACCCTCTACTCTCAAACGTTGACATAAATAACTAGCTGGCTAGTAGATTGTACTACAATAGACTAATTACTAATAGTTACCAAACAAGGTAAATTACCGGTTGATACTAATGATTGATCACTCCCCTAAACTTTGGTGCACAAAGCCTTGCTTGTTAGTTGAGACTAGTATCGATATCATTGGTCATAAGACAGTACAGATGCATAAGCAGGAGATCATAGCTAAAACTAACAATAGGTGACTTCAGTAAATTCCTCTTGTACGAGTATATCCCCTTCTTTGCACAAATTCATACATAATTCTTTGTTTTGATTTGGTCTATAGCCAATTAGCCATAGCTTGAAATCATGTATTTTGCAGATTAAAATTATGAAAAACAATATAAAAGAAACGAATGTAGCCCTAATTATAATAAAGGAAAATATCTAAATCTTGACTTCATGAAGATTAAATGAATAACGAGGGGTAAACATCCCTCTAGATACAGCACGTAACAGGTAACTCTTTTCATACGTACACAAATATGACTGACTAAGCTGTTATGGTGAACCAAAAGGCTAAAAAAGGAATAGTACAGAGTTGTTAAATTAGCAAAGAATGATGTTGCAACAAAAACATCAATGGTCTCAAACCTGGGAACAAAAAAAATCTCAATAAGTTTATCAATACTAGTGAATCAGTTAACTACAAACACATGAACACGCCTAAACAACCTTTTTCCCTTTCTGCATAGATAGCTAGCACCATCACCTATTCACCTGTATCCGTTTCTCTAATTACTGGTGTAAATAATACAGTAACAGTAACGGGATAAAAGGTAACAGTCATTCCTAGCTTCCTCATGCCTTCTTCATGATATAACCCAAAATAACTCCAATCAAACCAATTAATATCACAAGCATAAATGAAACTCCACCTTGGCTTTTGCTAGCTTCTCGCCTCAAAAGCTCCTGCATATTGTTGTATTAGCATAGGAATTTGTATAAGCAGCACATAAGGAAATACTACAAAGTAGTGAAGTACTACATATATAATAGTATTAAAAAATGAAAGGCACCAAGATTTTCCTAAAACTACATCAAAACCAATCAAGAGAGATTAGAGTTACAACTCCAGCAAGAGTCATCTCTCTTTACTTTTTTCGTTTTATGATAGGTAAGAAAAATACTGAACATGAAATTTGAAGTCTAGCAAGCATATGGACAAGAGAACTCTTTATTTAAGACATACCAAATTCAATATTCTTTTTCAGCCTAGTACAGATCATTGACATTTGGACCTTGTCAGTAGCTATTATATGTAATGAGAGGGTGATTGTCATGTGTCACTAATTTAGCTCACCACCATCCATCCTCTCAGCTCTGAGCCTCTGGTGTTGGTGGGCTCTACCCCTTATGAATATGAAAACCAAATATTCTGATTCAACAAATTAATGCAGGCATGGATGCATGATGGGCAGGAACACTGATTCAACCACATCACTACAACACTACATACACTAAATGTAGAGATGCACCAATTATATACTATTACAGAATTAAAATTAAAAAATGCTCACAGAATATCACCCATTTTTTCCATAAAAAACATAAATTTCAGAACCATAAAAGCCTATCAAAAGTTGCCAAATTAAAATTGATGAAGCAATATGTCCACTTAACCAAATAAATTCAGCTAGACGTCTTAAAGCTTTAAAGACATAGTTTTAACTTTTTATAAGAAGTGTCAGAATTTTTGGTAAGAGATTTCAGCTAGATCACACAGAATGTCTCATTCTCATGCAGAAAAATTGACATGTACCAAGGTTTCGAAAGCTGCTTGGCCAACTTTATAAAAGAAAGTTGTAAACAAACTAGACAACCAGTAAAGCTCTCACCAATTCCTGTCTGAGTTTGTTATTATGATGAATTGCGGAATTTTTCTCCTCGGTCAGCTTTGCAATAAGAGCTTTTGCCTGAAATAGTGTTCAAATTTTGAAGAGAATTCAGAATGCATACATTATTATGAAGCTGACAGAATTCAGATAAAACAGGCCAGGAGAAAAGAAACCAGCAATCTAATAACTTCATTTGCACTCATTTACATACACAGCTGGACAACTAACATTACAAAGAATAAAGGGTGGCTATACAGAAAACTATAAAGCGTGTCCTAAGGGAAGGAGAAAAGGTTTACATCGAAACCCCCATAGATCTAATTTCTAATATGTAGCCTTGTGAGTATTATGTCATAAAAATTAAGAACTATTTGGTTGGAAAAATTCATAAAAAAGGGAAACTGAAACATCTCCCCTGTTTGGCTGTTTACCTATTTCCCTTCAGAAGTGATTAATTTAACATTTTTCAGCTTTCGAAAATCCACAACACCTACTTGCAACAACAACCACACATACTTCCACCATTACGACAAACACAACCTCCCCCAACCTACATATGACACCCTTTAGGTGCTATAGCATATCCACAGCCAACATCAACTTCAACAAAACCCATCATCAAAGATACAATCACAAAGCACAACAACAGCCTAAACCAGAATAAACCACCATGGCCATCACCTGCACTTCGCCACTACCGGAAAAGGCAGAAATACCACCACCAAATCATCCCTTACTGTAGAACATGCTTCCAATACCCACTAAGAGAGATTCAATATTCCACTAACTTCCTTTTGTCTAATGGTGGGATGGAATTGAGAGACAAGTTCCGGATTTGGAAATTTTAACCAATTTCACACACCAAAGAATCAAGTTTAACCCATAATCTTCAAGGCGTTAATGGAAATTTGGAGATAGTGGTTGAATGTGCCAAACATAAGGATGAATAAGATAGTAGAAGGGCTGGGTAAAGCGATGAAAGACGTTGAGTAACTTGAGAGTGTTAAGAGAAGATAAATTGTGGCAGAAACCTTTGCGGGTTTTAATACCTGTTATCTAGTACTGAGTAGCAAACATTATTTAATAGATTTGAATTTCATTCCCTGGTTAAACCGAACACAAAAACTGATTTCCGTTTCTTGCTTCCTTCCCTCGTTTCCCTATCCACAAACACCCAAGACATTACTATTTGTTGAAGTGGATTTCTTCCCCAAGCTATTTATGCTAATACCCTATTGAAGCCACAGTCAGATCACCGTTCAAATGAATACCCTAACCCCGTACAACCATAAAATAAAAAAAAAATAATAATAAAAAATGTATGGGTACTCAAAGCTATTTTACGAGTCCATGGTGAAGGTTATGATTTAATATTGATCCAAAACCCAACCCATCACCATAAAAGGGGGGGGGGGCGTATGCAGTAATGCAGTTTACATAAAACTCGCTAAATTTTTCAAATTTTTGAGAGTCAATTGCATGATTGCATCACAAACTTGGTAGAGACTTAGTAAGCCATGTCAAATTCAGATCCACCAGAAACTCCTCGGTCAAAGGAATAAAAATAAACAGTGAACACCCTAACAGCCCCTCCCTTTATATATTCAGGGACGGACGAATTTAACAGAAATGGCTGGAATGTGGATTGGGGACAAAAAAAAAATATTTGGGCATCCCCACCAACTGAAGGGCACTTTCCTTAGCGGCTTGCCTCTCTCTCTCTCTCTCTCCAAAAAAAAATTATTTGGGCATCCCCACCAACTGAAGGGCACTTTCCTTAGCGGCTTGCCTCTCTCTCTCTCTCTCTCTCTCTCTTTTAATGCTTGCAATCACATTTTTAAAATAGAAAAGTCACAATATTTGCAACACACTATAATTGGAAATAAATTTGTACTATTAACCTTATTTAAAGCTAATGGCATACTTAATTATACTCTTACAATCTCTCGACGTGAGTTAAAAAATGTGAGACCCACTTTTCTTAAATAACGAAAAAGTGTATTGCAAGTACTTCCTTTTTTCTATTAATATTGCAACAAGGATGAAATTACGCATCCCAAAGCACTTTTCAAATGCTAAATATCTATAATTGTGTAAGAGTAAAAATCATAAAAAGTTGATATTGTGAAAGTATTTTATAAGACGAATCCAATAAGATCTCACATGACTATATTTTGCTTAATATATAAATCATATTATATGGTCAAATAAGAGTGATGAATAGTGCAAAAAGCCCTTTGTCGCAATATTAATAGAACGGAGGAAATGTATGAGTTGATGTTAATTTTTAGTTGAAAAAAAAAAAGATTTCTGAAGTATATAACTCTGATTCTCAAAAGATTGATTGCTTTGATTTTCTAGATTTATTTATTCAACAAGTGATTTAAAGGAAAAATTGTCCATTGCAGTCATTTAAAGTTTGTATTTTGTAATTGCAGCCATTTAAAAAAATTGTAAATTGCAGCCCGACTTAACTTTTTCATCGGTTTATGTGTCGAAAAATATTCGGTTAAGATTTTAGGGGCCATTTTAGCCTTTAAGGTTCTAAATTGAGCTCGGAATTAGCAAAAAAAATAACGTAAGTGTCTCGTTTTGCGTAACAATAATGTATTGATTTGTAGGCAACTATTTATAAAAAATATAGTCATGTAAGATTTTGTTAGAAACATCTCCATTTATACCTTTGTAACATCAAATTTTTACAAATTTTACATATTGGCAAACATGAAGTGAGATGTATTGCAAGTAAATAAAAGCAATGGAAGTATCATTTGACAAACCTAAATGAGAATTGAGTGGGTGAGGAAAAAAGGAGGGTTGCTTAGCAAAGACACAAAGACACAAATTCAATTTAGGACATGCTTGAATTAAGGGAGATTTGTTACTAGGGTAATAAAAGTCAAATTAAGCAAAATGAAAGTGAATATAAGGAAGGAGAAGATAGTGATGGTGTGATTTTAAGGAAAATTATGTAGTGATGTGTGGCATGAGATGAAGAAAGAGGAACTAATACCCTCATTTTGGGGGTAATAATTACACTAGGAGGAGGGTGGGTAACTATTACCCTCATTATGGGGATAATAATTCCTCCATCTCTATTTTTCCTCGTAGCACAACTATCTTATTTCATTTGTAAGCACATTGTCTCCTACAATAATACCTCTAATTTCTTACTTCCTCTGGTTTTTATTACTCAACCTATTTTACAAGTTTTAAGGTAGAGTAGGAAAAAAAGTGAAAGACCAAATTACCCCTCTACTCCTACCCTTCCCCTCTTTCCCCTCCACCCACACATACAGACATACAGTACATCTCACAGCACAGTTGTGGAGCCATCACTTTACCGCAGCCGCACCACACCACCACTTCACTGCAGCCGCACCACACCACCACTTCACCACACACATTCCCCTTCACCGCCCCACAGAGCCACCACTTCATCGCAGCCGCACCACATCACCACTTCACCACACACACTCCCCTTCGCCGCCCCGCGAAGCCACCACCACCATACCCTTTTTAAATTTTTTTTTTTTTTTTTAAATAGACAACCACCATCACATACATGAGCATTTTTTACGAAATTGAAAGATTGAAGGTCGAAATTAGTACCACCGCCGAAGTAAAGACAAGAAAGGAGTGAGAAAGAAATACCCATTCTCCAAGTACTCACACCCAAGCAATTATTACGTATTTAAGACCCAAAACCGTATCTACAAAGGTTGAATTTGGTTGTGTTTGTTTTAGATCTAAATTTTGCGGCTAGATTGGACCACCGCAGCCTCGATTTTGGACATTTGGTAAACTTTGAGTACTTTGACAGTGGTGGAAACTACGCGGAGGTGACAAGAGAGAGTGTGATGGGAGAAGGGGGGAGACCATCAGCGGTGAAGAGGAGAGATAAGGGTGGTGATTGATGTTTCAAAAAAAAATTGAGGTGGTGGTTGTGGTGGCTTCCATGGATAAAGGGTAGGAAAGAGGAAGATTTGGGGTGGTGGTAATCAATGAACTGGGGTTGACTGAGGTGATGAGAGAGGAAGTAGGAAAGGTAAGAGGGTGTAGTGTCATACTATGTTGAATTGGTCATGAGGGTAAATAAGTAAAAGTGTAGTATTATATTTGCCATAAAAGGAAACAGGTGAAGTAAAAAGAAACTTCCTAAAAAGGAATACACGTCAAGTAATAAAGAACGGAGGAAGTATGTTTTTTCAAGTTTGACTTTTATTACCCCCTTAACATATTACCCCCAATCCAAGCATGCAAAATACTCAACAATTTTAATATAATGCCTCAAATTATGAAGCAAAGACGCAAAATTATCCAGCATACAGTCACAAACGCAATAAAACCAGGCAGCGTGTTTATGTATATGTACACACACAGAGTGATAGAGATTGATAAGATTACGATCCTAAAGTATATTATTTTAGTTCGCAAAACAATGTCAGGTTGATGAAATAAATCAGTAGACAAAGCCAGGTAAAACGAAAAAATATATTACCTCTGTAGGTTTGTCATGAGATTCAGCAAATGTCCTTGATGCCTGGAATTTGAGGTAAGAGACCCATTATCAATAGCAACAAGTGAAGAAACGACGAGAACAAAAAGAGAAAAAGCATGAAATTACTTACAACAGCAGACTCGGAATTACTAAAATGAGCATTGTCAGAAACAGAACCCCTAGGGGAATTGCCTTCCTCAGAGCCTTCAGGAACTGGCGAAGGCGGTTGGCGTGGGGGAACGTAAAGCACTCTCAATTTGCACTCCTCGACGACATGTCCAGCCTCCTTGCTAAACTGGAGGACGAAGAGCACACGAGTAAGTAACCCGCCATGAATGCCACATAACATGAATGGAAATGATATCTTATTAATCGAAAATATAGTTACCATTTCTGGAGTGATATCTTTAACAGTTGTGCCATGATTAGCTATAACACTCTGAAGGAGAAATTTGTCCTTGCATTGCATATCAGAAGGGGGCTCCTTCAGTGCTTGCATAGTAACTGTATATATTAACAGAAACCCAATTAATTAATAGAAAAATTGAACACCCCTCAATAATCAATCAAATAAAATAAAAATGCTGTTTAATTACCTACAACTTGACATGTTGATCGGGGCAAAACTACGCCGGTGTTAGGACGAACGCAATACTTCTTGGGATTGGTGGTTTTAACCTAATTAAATAAACATTATACATAATTGATGAAATGCGAGAATTGAAGAAGAAGAAATGAGAAAAGAAAAACCTTGAAGGCAACATAGCTATCGGTCTTGTTGGTTAAATTAAGAGAAGAGCAGATCTGCTTCTTGAGCTCAACTGCATAATAAGAAATAGATCAGAAGAAGAAACAAATGACAGATCTGTAAAATAAGAAAGAAGTATGAATTGTACGTTCAAACTTGAGTTCCAAAGGATCGATATTCAGAAGTTCGCCCGTGCTCATCTTCGATCACAACCGGATCCGATGATCAAACCCGCGCTACAGAATTACACCTTGTTTCGTAATCGCTAATCTACAAAGGTGAGACGGAGAATTCGAGATTCCGGGGAATAAAGGAACCCCTTTTTCTTTTCTTTTTATTTATTAAGTTTAGGTGGGAAGACAGTTTGATTTTGGGAAGGAAGGAAGGAATGAATGAAAGATCAAGGACAAGGATGGATCGATTTCAATTGCAGATTTTAATTTTAATTACTCACACAATTGTACAACGTGCTACACATCTCTCCCTTTCCCACACTTTTTAACCCTGCTCCATCCTTATGTGTATCTAAGGTTATACTTTGACCGATATATAGTTTTTCGTTTAATTAATTGACTTTAACACGGAAAAAAAATGTTAAATAGATTAAAAAAATTAAAAAAATTAAGGTAATTGAGAAGGAAAGAAATATTATTCACTATTCTTCACTCATACTCTACCCACACTTTAAAATTTACTCATAAATAAGTAATACTTAGAGGTGGGTGGGTGTTGGTGTGGTGGCTCATGACAACCTTGGCAATGTGTTATTCTCTGCATGCAGGAGGTGGAAAGCATGGTGGCAGATTGAAATTGCGGAATCAAAGGCTATCATTCTAGCTCTGAAACTTGGGAGAAACTTTGGTTATTCAAGGGTGATTATTGAAACAGATTGCCAAATTGTCACTAACAAGCTGTCTAAGGGGGCCTCGCATTTGACTGAACTTGATGCCATCCTTTGCGACGCCATAAGGCTAGGTACAGCATTTGAGCAAGTTGCTTGGTCTCATGTCCGACGTGAGGGGAACGAAGTAGCTCACAACCTTGCACGTTTTATTCCTTTTAATGTAGAACAAGTTTGGGAAAATAGAGTCACGGATGAGGTCTCTCCTTATGTACTCATGGATACTCTTATTATGAATGAATGATTTTGCTCCCCGTGAAAAAAAAAAAAAAAAAAGTAATACTTAGAGGTGATCATAAAATCAGGTTGAGCCTTAACATTATATCACGCACCGAAATCCGTAAAAAAAAAGTAGCAGGCATTTTTCGAGCCAGGTTCGAGATTTGAACTAAAATTGCGTTTTTTTACTTCCCAACCTGCTCTATTTTCGGGTCACATTGGACCAGACCATGATTGATCACCTCTAGTAGTACTACAAGGCTTGAGGCAAAACCTTCTAAATTTAAAAGCATTATAAGTGTAAAAAAGTTGTCACAAAAATAATTGGTTTGTAGCGGCCAAATGTCGTAATGACAATCCAACCTACTACCAGAGGAAAATACACAGTTGGTCATTGCACTTGATTGAAAACAAAACTATCATATGATATATTATGACTTAAGGCTTCTAAATCGAAATTCATGCCAAAAGCAAACACATGCGCCTAGTGTTCGATTGTCGTCCTATAGCAACTCACTTAGTGGCATCTCGAGATCGCATGAGATTCATGAGAAAAATGTCGTCATCTACCTTTTCGAAGTTTGAAATATACAATAAATCTTCAAAATGGAAGGTTGTAAATCACGAATTCAGGTAATTTTAAGAGTTATTTATCAAACTTGGAGATAAATGGGAATTTCTTTTATGGAAAATCAAGAAATTAATTTTGGAGAAAGTTCAGCAGAGATAAAAAAATTTAAAGTGTACAAAAAGATTGTTGATGTAAAACTATAAAAAGGTGTAGAAGAACAAGTCTCTAATCTAAGGCCTCATTTTGTAGATGTAGGAAATAATTTCCTTTGAGAGTTTTTATGCAAGGAAATTTTATTCGTAGGAAGGAATTACAATTATGTGTTTGATTGTCATATGGGAAATTATAAATAATATAAATTGTGAAGGAATTACTCATTCAATCAATAAATAAGTAAAAACTAAAAATTAGCCCGAGTGTTGTCCCGGGTTACTATTTTTGTAATTGTACAATGAGAGTTTTTTTTTTTTAATGGATTTGTATTTTGCAATTGTCTTTTTGTAAGCAAACTTTTTTGTTTTCTTTAATAAAGTATAAGAAAGTTTTGGCACATCAATTTAACAATAATGAAAACAAAGAGTAAAAGGAAGTTTTTTTTTTCTTAAACAATGGGGAATAAAGAGTCTAGCTGTCAAGATAATTCAGTACCCGCCTTAAATCATTAATACTGTCTTTTTATTTTATATTTTTTGAATGAATGTTTGTGTTTTTTTTTAATAACTAAACTGTGTGGTTTATACTACCTCCATTTCATATTATGTGCAACAAAAGATTATTTTATGTCTCACAAATAATACTCTTTTGTTGCACATAATACGAAACAGAGGTAGTATATATATTCGTTTTCCATATTTGTAACATGCTCGATAATTGGATTAGATGGTTGAAGAGTTACTTTTGTTATAAGTGGTTCGCGGTTCGAATCTCCTCATATTCAAATTTTACCAAGAAATTGACTATGAGTTGGATTTAGAAAGAGTAAGTAGAAATTTGAGGACAGAATTAATTTCAGTAGGCATTGGAAACTAAAAATACATTGTGGAAATTTAGGGTTGAAGAACTTGGGGAAAAGAAGAAATGCTTTGAATACACTGTATTTGTTTCGGTGTTTTTTGGATTTCCTGGGATACTGGTCACGCTCTTCTGGCAATGAGTCAGGCCCACCTGCAAAACAACGAATATTCCGATCAACGAAATATTCGCCTCCGACGATCAAGTCAATGATCAGAACGAAAAAGGCTAGAGAGAGAAAGTAGAGAGAAGTTGGAGCTGTTTAATGCTGTGTTGTTTTCAATTGTCTGAATCCCCCTCCCATCATAAATGATTGGGGTATTTATAGGGGTGGGACTCGTGCCCCTCTTTAGGGTTTATACCCTAGATTTGCGTGACGTGATTGGCTGTGCAATCAGCGAATGCCACGTGCTACTCTGGGGGCGCCGTTTTGCGGCTTCCATTGTTATCTCTCGGGACGTTGCTAGGGTTTTCTGGCATGTTGATTGTTAAGGGAACAAATGTCCTTAACACATGGCATCTTCTCGTGACGACACGTGTCACCCTCTGACTGGGTCACGTGTCGCGACGAGACTGGCCTGCGGTTTTAAGGGCTCTGGATTACGTGGCATCTTCCCGTGGCGACACGTGTCGCCCTATAACTGGGCCACGTGTCACTATGGGATTGGTCCATGTATACGGGGTATTTTTACCCACAACATTTGCCCCTCGGAGGGGGTGGCTCGTACGCTTACAGGCCGACTCCTCTGACCTCAAATAGCCTTGGTGCGTACAAGTGTATTATGTTTTTGTCAGCTTTCCGTCCGCCTGAAAATTTTAGAGCGAACGCCTGTCTATACAAATGGCGCGGACGGAGGTAGGTCGTCTTGCTTTTGGGAGAGGCGGTCGTCTCGCCATTGCGAAGAGAGCTTTAGCTCTGCCAACTTCCCTGGTTGAAGATAGGTCGTCTTGCTTTGGAGAGATGCGGCTGTCTTGCCATTGCGGAAAGGGCTTTAGCTTTGCCAACTTCCCTGGACGGAGATAGGCCGTCTTACTTTTGGGAGATGCGGCCGTCTTGCCACTGCGGAGAGAGCTTTAACTCTGCCAAATTCCCTTTGGACGCGCCGTTTATTAGGTCATCCTTTCAGCCTAATTTAACGGAGCTACTCCTTGTCCCTCCAAATTCTAGGTCACTTTTTCAAATTGTAACCGTTCAGCTAAGTTAGGCGGGAAAGATGAATTTACTATCTTACCCCCATAAATTTTCCCTATATATACAAGGGGTTTGACTTCATTTTGGCACTTTGGAACTTTACATTTCTAGAGAGAAGTCATAGCTTCTAGAGAGAGAAAGTGCGTTTTCCTTTGAATCTTCAAGAGCTCCGCCGCGCATTTGAGTTTTTCGGTAACATTTGTTGAATTTTCCGATCAATCTTCAAGGCTTCCAAGTTTTCAACACGTACAGAGGTAGGCCGCCTGTTTTTCTTTTCCTTGTCTTTTTATTTCTTTGTTTATTTAAAACCTGGCTCAACACTCGGCTTCGTCCGTTTCTCCTCATGAGGCCGGCCGTTCGCCTGGGACTGAGGAGTCTAGAGTGGACGGAGACGAGTTGTCTCCTTCATGGAGTGGGTCCATTTCTAGTGCGTACCAACTCACATCCACCCATTCTTCTCTGTCCCTGCAGTCGAACATGGCACGGACGATGCAAACACATGATCGTCATGCAGCCAGAAATCCAGACGGAAGTCTGGTAAACCCTAGGCCTCTTTATGACCCAAACAATGTTAACGTAGAGACCCCTTCCACCACTCCTACGACCGCTTCCACGGGCACTCACTACTCGGCCGTGGAAGTAACTTCCTCATTTGAGGAGCGTCAAAGAACTCAAGGCGCTTCTACAATGGGGGGAACGTCCGGGCAAACTCCGGGGTAGAGGTTCCCCCAATATGCCAGCTCGGTCATGGATGGGGCCGAGTTGCTACTCTATGAGGGGCCTCCTTCTTCTTCTCGTGCGGACGCTGACGCGTCCGTGCCCACTCCCGCAGAACTCTATCTCCGATATAGCAGGTCGGACAGACCAAGAACAGGGGTTTCAATTAATGAACCGTCCGACCTGCCCCCTCGCAGAGCTCCTCCTACTGGGAGTCAGGCGGCCGGTGCCAAAGATAAGGGCAAACGGCCACTTGAAGACATTATCTCTCCCCAAGGCGGCTATTGTTCTAGGAGCTGCAGCTCGGCGGAGGCGGCCGACCTGGACAGGGTGCTGTCGTCCGAGTTTGGGAGCGCTCCTCAGCGAGAAGAGGATGAAGCTGAGAATGCGGCCGAGGGTGGAGCGGCGGCCGCAGAGGGCGAAGAGGCGGCCGAGGAGGATGTTGCCAATATTGACAACTTCAAGGATCCGTACGCCTGCACAGTGGGTAGCACAGCCTTGGGCTACCTGAACCACAAATTTGAGGAATACAAGGCATTCCTCCACCTTGGAGAGGGATTTGAGATCCAGCCTCCAAGGAAGTCCCGCGCTTTAGCCGCTTGGGAAGAAGAGAGGCCGCGCCAAAGGTCCTTCAGCGTTTACAGGGCGGCCTTAGACGTTGGACTGCGCTTCCCCCTCCATCCTTTCGTCCGCACAATCTTGGACGAGTATGACATAGCCCTCTTCCAGCTGATGCCAAACAGCTGGTTGAACATTTTTGGATACTTGGTGACGTGCATCTGCAAAGGCTTCAAGCCAGACTTTGCAGTTTTCTGTGAGATGCACTCACTGACTAAGCTGGACGTGGATACGGACGGCTGGCTCATCTTGAGCACCACTAGAGATTACA